GAGAGAGAGAGAGGGAATAGAATAATCGAACAATGTTTTAACAAACGGTGTTTAAACTATCTCTTAATCCTTTCATTTCTAACGCAAACTTCAATCGTTATCCATAAAATGACCTATAGATATTCAAAGGCAGATCCTAGATTGAAAATGTTTTCAATGTTTGTACATGCGACGTTATCACTTATGTCGCTTATTTTTGCGTATCTATAAAATATAAATTCATACAATAGAAACAATAGAAATTGGCACGTGCACGTTTCTTATTCCAAAGATAAAAAGAAAATTTTCAAGAGAGTAAGTGCAAAGATATGAAAGCGAAATTTGAGAGTAAAATTCTCGATGCACATTCTCAAGATAAAAAGAAAATTTTCATTTTTCAAGATAGTAAGTGCAAAGATATGAAAGCGACACTTGAGAGTAAAATTCTCAAAGACATTCTCAAGAGTGTTCAAGAGTAACTTGATTCAAATGTAATTTTAAAAGTTAATCGATTCTCGAAACACCATCTTCGTTATTAACAATCGTTGCTTGCATTAAATCGCTCACTCGTGAACGAACGAGAGAGAAAAATAGTTAAGTTTCCTTGAAAATTTGCATTTTCTTTCGTGTAATTACAACAACATTCACAAATGTTGACGCTACATAATGAAGTATTATTGTATTATGTTAATTAAGCTATTGTGCAGAATCAAGAAATAAATTGCTTGTCTATCGTTTATCTAAATAAATTGCCAAGGAATGCGGAAAGAGTAAGGAATAAACGGAAGGAAAAGATTTCGAAATAATTAAGATTTTTATCTGTATCATTAATCTTTAGATTTACGTGTTTCGTTCACGTGTTTTCGACGCGGTAAAAAATTATACAATTTTTCATCAACCGATTGGAAAAATGACAAAGATATAAATGACATGGTTGAATTAATAACAATTCGAATACATAATTTATTCTTTAGAAACAGCTTAGATACCTGTTAGCTATCCTTAACCATGTTCCAAGGTTTCTAACCTAAAAATCTAAAATTTTATTCGTCCTATTAAAATCCTATTTATATCTTTCTATCTTATAATAATTAACTTATCAATGATATTACATAGTAACGATATCATTGGGGGAAAAATGTGAAGTGTGAATGAATAAAATAAAAGCGATATAACTCGCCTGACACTGAAAAAAGATTGATAAAACAATATAGGCAAGATGTCGGCAGAGATAAGCGCTCTATCATCTCTATCGAGCGGAAACCGCTTTCGACAAGATTAATTCGAGAAGAAATTCGATCGATAAAATCAATTTACACAGCGAGACGATAGGCCGATTGAAGTAATTCTAATGTGATCTGACCGAGCCGTTCTCGCTGCAGGCAACGAGGGGCTTCTTCAGACACTTTGTTGAGTTGCTACTCGTGTTCCCCGATGGCGATAGTGATCGAGCGTTTCTTTAAAAGACTACCGACTAACCTCGGTATATAGATAGCATTATCGTAAGATAGCAGTACGATACGATTACGAGATCGTATAAAATTGGTGGAACATAACCTATTTTCAGATCCATACTCATTATCATAAGCCCCATTTTGAAAGCTTAAGCATACATAGTGTAGTATAATAACGGGAAAGGAATTGGATTGTAATTTTCTAAAATATGTGATATTTCGTTTACTTTTCACTTTAATAAATTTTTCATTTTTCGTAGAGAATAATTCAAATGTGAAAGGATAAAGAAAAAATTGAATCGTTACTCGTATATATTTACTTTCTCTTTCGTGAGCTTTGAAATAAATATATTATATTCTTTCCAATTATTTTAAAATGTCCATCTTTATTTTATAGCTATAATCTTTATTTCTTAATATTTCGTTACATGTGAACGTTACATTTTAACATTATGTAATTTTACACATGTATTTATACCATATTATTTCCTATTTATATAATCAAAATGAAAAATTACAACATAATAATCTTTTTTTCTTGGAAGATAATTTTTCTTGATTGATCGCAATTAGATAAATCGTTGTATGAGCGTGATTCACAGAAAATGGCGTCCTTCGATATAAAAGAAGCTCGGCGTACCTGCCATTACATAAATAAACGAACGCATCTTTCGTGGCCGGTATTATTTTTAAAAAAAATTTAACAAGTATCTAATCTACGATGTAATGTACGAGATCTACAGTAATCTCTAAATAAATTATTTCAATTCAAATCATATTGTATATCAGAAATAATGAAGAATTTTTTCAAACACTTGTTATTACTTCTATCACTAATGGCGATAGCAACCTA